AAAACAAAATAAATATTATTTTATGCAGCAGCTGCGCTTGAAATTTGATCAAGAAGGAGGCAAATTTTCCTTATGGAAGTGTTGCTAAAGTCTTATGAAGTTTTAAAATATGATAGATATCCCTTTAATTAATGTTATTGGACTGTGATTTACACTAAACTATCTTTGTCTTATCTGCTATTTTATGTCATTGCACAAATGTCTAATTTTTTGCCTATGGGCAGGAAGTAAAAACTTAGCACTGCTTATTTCTATTTTGGTTCCCAGTGTAATACAGTGTGTAAAAAAATTAAATTCAGAATAAAGTCTGTTAGTATCAGGAAGGAGAACCATGAGTTCCCTGAACAGTGATTAATCCGTGGCTTCTCTATCTTAGGTAGTACAGCCTCTCAATCTACCCTTGCAAAAAAAAAAAAAAAAAAAAAAAAAAAAAAAAAAAAAAAAAAAATCTACCTCGACATTATTCTCAAAGCAGACTGCAAAGCCACATAGAAGATTCAAATGATGAGTTGATTCTTCTTGATTTGAAGAGTAAAAGGCATAGTGCCTCAAAATCATCTCTGTATGTTATCTGCCTCTATCATCTGATATTAAAAAAGTACTGTAACTTTTCTGTGAAAGAATTTCAAGTTACTGGATTCTCTTCCTCTCCTGCCATATCCCATCAGTGGAATTTTAAAGAGAGCAACTTCTAAAATATCTTAGGCCCTTTTTCAAAAGCAGTGGTCACAATGTCATTGTTAGTACTACGTAAGTAGCAATAGTGCATCATAGCAGTACATGGCAGTAGTGTCTGTGAGACTGGTGTACATGGAGTCTTACGACCAGTTTCGAGTTTTTTGGATAGTCTTGTCCTGCAAACACTCTTAAATGCTGATTGCAACCCAGAGAATAAGTTGTCTACCATAATTAATAATGTTTAGAGTGTCTTAAATGTTTTCCTGACTGTAGCAAGCTAGCTGAGTGTAGTAAAAGATTTATGTCCAATGATAGATGGAGTTTTAACCTCTTGCCTTACCTGAATTCCTGGATACGCTTCTCTGTGGCCTCTCTGCAGTCATCTCATCATAGTGAACCAGGAAGCTATTAACCAAAATGCCTTTATTATCTCCAAAAAAGTTGTTGAACTTGTTTTGGACAGACTTCAATGACACACTCAAAGGCTTTCTTAGTTTCATCTGTTTGGGAACATCTCTTTCCATCCCTACTGTTCTCATTTACTGCTTCTAACAGGGGCACCTTTTACTTCTCCAAGAGGCAACCCTGGGGATGTGCCAGAGACAGAGCAGGTCAGAGCTGGCCAAGGAGGGCACCATTCCACAGTAGCTGTGCCTTAACCAAGGGCCAGAAGCACAGATTATGGGCCATGAGGCAATGTACAGAACTTTATCACTGACAAGAAATGAGGAGTAATTCATGGCTTTACCATGAAGTTAAACAATCATAGTTCATTTGTGCATAAGTAGTTGTCCTGCTAATAAAAGGAAAAAAGTATAACTGAACAATTGCCATATTGGTAACTCCTGGTTTCTGGATATAATGCACTTATTTGTGAGAACTACTGATCCCACATTTTCTGGTATTAAAATGTTGGTTTATGATAAATTCGTAGCTGTCCCTAAAGCAATTTTGTTCCCTGGGAGACTCAGACAGAAACCCCAAAGCAATGTTTTCATTTAAAGGAGTTAATTGTCTTTTCTGTGAATTGTCCATGCTTGTGCTGCTATGAGGGATTAATATTAGCAAGGTGTAGCTGTTGGATGTATGCCTACATATATATTATGTTGGATATATGCCTGTTCTCTATTATCTCAGTCATGTTGAGGAATTCCCAATATGAATAAGTACCAAAAGTGACTTTTCTTTGTGTCAAACATAAAATCTGTTAAGTTTTCAAACGTTCTTTGAAAAGACATATTTCTGACAGATTAGACAGAAGATGACATTCAGTTTTAGGAAAACAAATCTTTTATTACTGCCATGAGAAAACAAAAACAGAAAGTTGAGATTACAGATCAAAGCAAGGTCTCTGTACTACATATTAAAATGCCATTATGTTGCACTTTGCCTGGAAGAACCTACAGCAATAATTACCATTCTTTGTTTAGAAGGCTAATGTTTAATGGGTTTTTAGAAAGCTGCTGCACTGGAAATGTCTTGCCACCTATCCACTGATTTCTAACTTCAGGATTGTTGTAGTAACACAGTGCATTGTGATTTCTGCAACACACTTTCAGAATCTTAGTCGCTGCTGTGTTTCCTTCTTTCTCCCTTCACCCAAAGTGAGACAACAGGATTAATGGAACTGGTTGCTGCTGACAAACAGTGAAGCTGAATTTACTCCTAGTGGTCTTACATCAGTAGCAGAGTTGTGCCAGTCTCACTCTGCCCACTCAAGCTGCTCACAACTTCAGCTGCTGTAGTTTTAAGGAAATCATAGCAAAACAAAATACCAAAAAAAAAAAAAAAAAAGAGAGACAGAAACAATGACAAGTAAACACCAGATCCACTTTTCCTGTGTGTTTTTCTTTTAATGGTCTAATTTACCATGTCCCTTGGCAGCACTGTAAGCTTTTGTACTATTTTCCTATAAATACATGTTGAAAGCCCCTGTGGCCACACATTGCTCTGCTTTGGTATTGCCCTGACATTAGGAGATCTGGAAACCATGTTCCTGATATATTTGCTGCTACACTGTTTGTATTATTTTGTAAGTCAATTTGAATATGCAAAGTTTGCTAACCCTTTTACTATTTTAAGTGTACTTAGGTATAGGGCTGCCATCATCACCAAAATATTTTGTGTGAGTCATGGTCACTGTAATGAAAAATACAACCTCTTTTGATTACCTAATTTCCAGGCTTGATGGAAATGCTTAAGCTTAGTAATTGTCTTTTGTACCATATATTCTCTGAAATAACTGTTACATTCTCTTCACAGAAATTATTTTGTTGCTGGATGCAGTTTTTCTCTTTTTTTTTTTTTTTTTTTTGAGTGGTGACCGAACATGATGGCACACAGTCCTCTGAGATGACATTTTTTTCTTAGAAAAGTACCCTCCTTATCATCCATATGAAATAGAAACTACTTAGAATATTTCCAGGGTAATAACTTGGAGTTTTTAAGATCTTAAAGTATATTTGGCAATTTTTCAGTGAAGTAAGATACATTTATCATGGATGTCTGAGCTATTTCCTTTCCGAAAACAGCATTAGGAATTGCAAATAAGCCTTTTTGACTAATAAACGGAACATGACATCGTTGTTTTAACACACATTCTGTCTTAATCGGCTAATTATATGGACATAATAAATGCCTCAAGTTTTCTCAATCAGTTCTAAACAGACTTGATATCTTCATCCTGGCTATAAATGTAATATTTGTAGTATTAAGTGAATAGACTAACATAGGGAAGCATTGTTCTAATTGAGGATTGCAGTCACATTCAGGAAACCTAAGATATTTTTCAGATGTGACAGTGGCAGAAGACCGAACTGATTGTCTTAAAAGCCTTCTTTAATCCTATGACCTCTTGTTTTCTTAGCTTTGGTGAGAAGTAGTGGTATAAATAAAACAGTTCTTCCTTACATGCAGGCATGTCTTTGTCTTTTCAGATGATTCTTACTACAATGTGCTCCAGGGTTTAATGTGTGAGGAGAATAACAGCATGGACAACAAAATTCAGAACACACCTTTAAATTCATTGCATGATGCAATTGCTGGTAGGAATTTTTTTCAATATGGAGGGACTCCTTGAGGCAGCCTTAGATGAGATAAAGATGACTAGTAGAACATTTTTAGGAAAGAACTAATTTCCTGGATGAAGAACACCTTTGTCCTAGGATGAGGTGTTAAAAAAAAAAAAAAAAAAAGGCAAAAACTCTTCTAGTGGCTAGGGCACTCTGCTAAGACATAGCAGAGAATTGATAGAAAAGTATGCAAATTATCAGGTTTATGCAGAGTCAAAACAATGTTAGTGTTCAACGAAATCATGCATGTAGCCAGCTAGAAGTAGGATGCTGATGATTTGGGGAGGGTAGTTCAGCTGATAAAAGAATGTAATTCTGTTGGGTAGTAAAAAAGGCTGCACAACAGTGGTCAGAGAGGGACTGTGTGGTTTCAAATAATAGCAAAACTTTTAAGGGGCTTCAGTCATATCAAGTGCCTGTGTGTACAGCAAAGAGGAGCTTGAATAAAGCTGTATCAGAGTTCAAGGAGCTTTAATATGTTTGAAGGATGCTCTGATACAAGCTTTCATATAGTACTCTGGAAATAAGAGACTGAAATTGGGTCAAGAGAGCAATATTCTTCACAACACAGTATTTTAAGTTGCAAGATGCATTAGAAGGCCTGAGTGACCTCTTCTCTGCATAAGAGTTCAGGAAAATAAACTGCGTGTTAATGCATGTTTTTCATAGAAAATTTCTCTGCTGTATTTCAGTGGCAGAAAATTGTCAGATAGCTAGCCTAGGCAGAAGCAATGTATATTAGTTTGCTTTTCAATTAATTCTGATTAAAGCAGGAGGAAGCAGGAGGAAGGCATAGACTCTGCATATACCTTAAATGTGGTGTGGATACATATATTCTCATTTAATGATACATCTGGCCCAGTGGCCCAGCTTAGTGGGCTCATCTTGCTATATCAGAGAGTTTTAAAAGTTGTCTATACAGTTTTCAAAAATCCAAGCCATGGGTATATTTATCTTTAATAAAATAAACTAATTTATTTTATTAGGAAAATATTTATGATTTATTGTAATTTATTTTTGGGGTAATATTGGACATTTTATGTACTCAGTACTGGCTGACAAAGTTTCTGAGTGGTTAAATAGGTTAAGGTAATAACTGTGGTTTAAATTTTCTATGACTACAGCTGTGAAGTGATGGTAAAGTAACTGGGATAGTAATAATTCTTGTGGATTTATTTCAAGTGAAAGTCAGAAAAAAAAAAAAAAAAGAAAATTCTAACAATTTAAAACAAACAAACAAAACAACTTTCCTAGGAAACAACACCGAAGTTTAATTTGTTAAAATGTATAACTGGACACTTAGTTTTGGAAAACTTTTACAATGTTAAATGTTGGAAAACTTTTGGTTGTACAACGTTAAATGTTGGAAAACGTTTACAATGTTATCTGTTCCTGGGGAATATTAACGTTGGTCATTTAGGTTAACATTAATCAAGAGCATGCCAAAAGCCTGCGCTGAAACGTGACTGAATTCTGTTTTCTAGAGAAACAGTTTGAAATTCTGGAAACTCTTCCTAATGGATACAGGATTTACATATTTCGTTCTTTATTTTAGCAAAGTACAATAAGCATCAACAACATTATAACTGTCCTGTATTACTTCCTTGGTTTTTCACACATCTTCTCTCTGCATCCTCTGGATCGGGACAGCCTCCGGTTTGCTTCTCTTTCCGCTCCTGCTCTTCCCTCCGTCCCATAGCTTGTCTGCATGGAAGACCTGTGTTTGCTGAAAGAATCGCAGCATGTGCCGGGTGGCATCGGGATCATCGCGCCTCGAGGCAGGGCGGCGGCAGCGGCAGCGGCGGCGGGGCAGCGGCGGCGAGCTGAGGTAGTGCTTAGGGCTCCAGGCTAGGGGCTGGGCGCTGCGGGGCGGCTCGTAATTCCTTATATACAGCCTGGCCCCTCCCACAGTCTGATCGTCCTAGCGACGGAGCCTCCCCCCTGCCTCGAGGGGGGCTCGAAGGGGGTTGCTCGGGGAAGTCATCGTAGCGACGGAGCCTCTCTGACCTCCTCCTCCCGCCGATCCGCAGCTGCTCGTTCTCCCTGGGCACGTGTCACTGCCAAGGCACGTGTGGCTTTTCTAGTGCTTTTAAATTTAACGTTAGTAAACAAAATTTTTAAGCAACAGTTCAGCATAAAATCCAAACAATTTGAGACATTTTCATTTTAACGTTAATCTTCCCCCTCAACTGGGGGAAGAACCTTTTCTTGATACCCCTGACACAGGTTCAGGCCATTCCCTCAGGTCCTGTTGATGCTTTTTCTGAGCCTCTGCGCACCACAGGCAAAAGATCAGTGCCTGCCTCTCCTTTTTCCTCAGGAGGCAGCTGCAGACTCCAGTTAAGTCTCCTCTCAGTCTCTCCTCCAGGCTGAACAGACCAAGTGCCCTCCGCCACTCTTCACAAGGCTTCTCCTCAAGGTCCTTCACCACCTCCTTTGGACACTCTCTGATAGCTCAATGTCTTTGTTACATTGTGGTTTCCCAAACTGCCCCCAGCACTGGAAGTGAAGCCACCCCAGCCCAGAGCAGAGTGGGATAATCCCCTCCCTTGCCCCCTGGGGATGCTGGGCCTGATACACTCCAGGACAGGGCTGGCCCTCCTGGCTGCCAGGGCGCTTGACTTAGATCCAACTTGCTACCGACCAGGACCACCACCATCCCTCTCTGTGGTGCTGCTCTCCAGCCTCTGATTCCCTATTTCCAGCTACATTGCTTGTCAGCTAAAGAAAACCAGCATCTCAGGGAGGTGAGCAGGGCAAGTAGCTCTGGCTAGGTTCATGCTGACATCTCCAGATATGCGTGAGATCTTTGGTTACATAATCTCAGTTGTATTTTGAGAACCTGCAACGGGTCCCAGACGCAAAGGGACTCAAAGGGATCTGTGGATTCCGTGACCATGTCTGTGATGTTAAAATGTTCCCTTGCGCACGCCCCCAGTGGAGCACAGGGAGCCTGTGGCACACGGAAGGGCCCAGGAACACCCAATCCTGGCTGCTCCCAAGGAGCCACCAGCTCCTCAGAGCCCACCTGAACACAGCCAGAGCAACACAGGAGCCCAAAGCCAGGTGGGAGCTGTGTCCTGTCCAGGTTTTTTCCAGAGCTCTCACAGGGAACCCACCACCCCATGTGGTGTTACCTGGCTGTGACATGTGTCATAATAAAAATCAAGGCTGGAGCAGCTTTTGAACTGAGGGGGTTTCTGCTGAGAGGCATAGAATGTGTTAGAGGAAGAACATTTTAGGATTGCAGAGGATTTATAATGGGCTGTTTCGGGAAATACCAAAGATGGGAAAGGAAAGAATTTAGCTGATTTGGGGAAGAACAAGTGAAGGAAAACAGAGAGATAAGATGACAGAAAGGCTGGTTGTTTCTAAATAATTATGCTTGTCTGCCTTTCCCATGTGCCCAATTAGCAGAATCTGACCTATCTTCTTATCATATTAATTTCTAACTCCTTGTTTTTCCCTGGGTTTAGGGAGGAGCTCTCTCTTGGGGGCCCAGATGAGTCACAGCTGCTGGAGAGATGGCAGGGTCTGGGGGTCTCCAGGGCAAAGGCAGGTGCTGTGTCTGTGTGAGACCACGGAGTGCTTGTCTCAGTGTTGTCACTCTCTGAGAGGTCCTGTACCTCGGATGCTCCCACACCCAGTGCCAACAACTCGGGAGGCTGGGATCCAGGGACAGCTGCTGGATCTACATCCTCACTGTCCTGCTCAGCCAGGGGAGGGAGTAGGATGATGCTGTTTGTGCTGTGTTTATGAGTGCTCTGTGTGCCTGTGTCCACTGTGCAGCAGGCTGTGATTACCTGTGCACGTGTCCTGCATTTCTGTGCTCTACATGCATCTGTCTGAGTTCTTGGTCATCTCTGGATTGGTTTTTTTGTGTCATTTAAAGACAGCTCAAGCCATGTCAAACTAGAGAAATTTTGAAGCTCTTGATTTCTGCAGAAAGTGTCTGGCAACATGACAGATGGCAGTTTAAGTCAGTTACAGAGAAAGGGGTTTAGCATTTAAAGGCACCCAGCAAATTGGATTTACTATCCCACATTATCTAGCCTTTTAATAATGAAATTCACGCTTCACACAGGCCAGTAGATTAAATTTTATCTATTCATTTTAACAGGAGATATGGGGGGGTTGATAAGTGAATTTTTAATTATCTTTTTTTCCTATACTGCCATTATTCTTTTCTTCAATTATTTCTTTTATGCTCATTTTATTTCTGGCATTTTTTTCTTTGGCTTTAGGTTGATTGTGGTTTTGTTTATTTTTTTTTTTCCCTGGTGCTGCTTAATGGAAGAAAAATATCATTACTTATTCACTGATCTCCCACAATATTTTTGAATTTCTGTGTTTTGGTGTTTGGTTTTTTTTTTTTTTCAGGAAGCAGAAGTTACTGTGTGATACAAGACCCAGAATATTTATGAGACTGATTTCAGCTCAAGATTGAAAATCATGAAAAAAAATGCAATATCAGTATTGAAATAGGTTTAAGTTTAAGAATGGCATTTGCATTCTTTTTGAGATAGTCTAAGCAACCAGAACAGGAGACTGCAAATTTAGAATATTATTTCACCTCCGGCATAAATCCTATTATCTTTAGGAGAAAGTAAAAAGAAGTGGGCAACTCATGCCCCAGAGAAAATGTGGGGCATTTATGGCATAATGTTCCTTAAATTGCCAAAACAGTATAGTATACTTCTGTAAAATATTATAGTAGTATTTAAGACATCCATAATGATTTTCATAGTTTCATAATACACTTGAAAGAATATAAGAATGTCTCTTGCAATGGCCAAGGGCAGCTACCTGTAGATGAATATAACAAGTTAATCACAAATTAATTTTCACACATACACTCTCTCACCTTTTGACCATTTGCAGACAGATATTTTTATAGGACTTGATTAAATTAATTACTGGTTATGGATTTTTCTCCTATGAATTTGCCTACTCACTTTTCAAACCTGTGTAAAATAATACTGTCCAAAAATCTGCCATGTGCTGTGAGGAAAACCATCTCTGTTTGCGTGTTTTCTATCTGCCTTCTGTTACTTTCATGTGGTGCCCTCCCTAGCTCTGGTGCTGGAACACAGTGAACAGTTAATCCCCATTCAATAGCTCTGTGTACTTGGGCTTTCTTGACATCTGTTATGGACCTCATTCAATTGTCACTCTTCTTTCAGACTGAAGACTCCTCACTTAGGAATCTTCACTGAAGAGTCTTCAAATATTTGTTGTGCAGAAGGAACTATACACATCTAGGCCATGTTCTTTGCTTTTCTCTTAGCCTTTTGCAGTTCTCTGTCCTCTCAGTCAGACCTACATAAAATTTGCCAGTGCTCCTGCTTGGAGTAATGCTTCTTACTGTTGGGGGAAAAAAAAAAAAAAAGGAATTTATTTAGGTTACATCTGCTAGATAAATAGATCACATATCTTGCCACATGTTTCAAGTATCTTAACATTTGTACATTAGGTGAAACCAGGACAACATCTGGGGTATTAGATCTTGCTAGACTTTGAATGCTGATTTACAGAGAGTAGAGTTTGCTTGTTGACCAGTTCTGTTCAGCCAGGAGTTGCTCAGACCCTTTCCAGAGCTAGAGGTACTGGTTCTCTGCCACTGGTTCTTCATAGGCCATGGTAAAGTTTCTCTCGAAATTATGCCCCAAAATGTTTTAGTCAGTTCTTTATTCTATAACTTGAAGAGAAAAAATGACAGATGGTGTCTTCTTTGCCTGACATGGAGGAGTTGTTTGTGCTGGCATAGGGTAAATGATATTTCATTACTTCTCAATGATTTTGTGTGGTTTTAAATAAGAACAGGAAAAAAAAAAAAAAGAAGGTGCTTTGTGAGTTTCACTGCTCTCCATCAAAATCTTCTTGCCCAGTCATACTGCAGCCATTTCAGTAAATTCCTGGGGAATATTTGGTCTACTTTTTTCCCTCCTGCCCAAGACAATGACTACAGTACCATTATGCTTGAGGTTAAATATGATGCCCTGGTTTAGCCCTGACTATTCATTTAGCTTTTACTCTGAAGATTAAATAATTCTTTAGTGACAGGAGCCCTTGCTGTGGTCACTGAGAGTTGTGTAATGCATCACCTTGGACAATGTTGACACCAGTCTGAATAATACTAAATTGGTGCATCCTTCATAACTCAAGACTAGGCACTCTTCACTGAGGGTGTTAATGAAATTCTCAGCTTCTTTACGGAATGCCACTTTGTCTGTTCCAAGGGCTAGTGTAGCTTGGAGCTTTTACTCTCCACAGAGTAAAACTTACCATGAAGTTCTGTACATTTCTTGATGCCAGACCTCCCAGGTGTTATCTTGACCATTCACAGAAATATACCCTGCAGTGTCTTAGTGCAGAAGGCAGCAGTACTGCCGATGGGGAAGGACCCCAAGAGTCCTTGGCAAAGCAGGATCTGGGGAGACTGATTTGCAGTTATCATAAATTGAAATTATAATAAAACACAGTAAAAAAAAACTCTTGGAGGGCAAAAAAAATGGAGAGGAAAGGTGATGTGAAACCTTCAAGAAGTAAGTGCTCAATTCAGAGTAAAAACTTGCCCAGTGTATTTTAATTTTCGGCAATAAGTGCAGAGCATGGGTTTTGATTCTTAAACTGACCAATATACTAATGTTTCTACTGGGCATTTCTGTTGTAGCACTAGCACTGCATCACTGACCTCTAAATTTTCCTTAAGAATCGCTCTCAAATCAAATTCTTCCCTAATCAGTGACCACTTTCCCATTTTGAAATTGTTGTTACTACTTCACACACAGATTGTCTGTAACTCAGTGTTTGGGAGTTTATAAATGTAATTCTTTCTGGTTATTCAGGACACCCATTCCTGTCCTCCAGCTTAATTCTAGAAGACTTCCCACTTTTTACCAAAAAATGCAGTTTTGCCAGAGCTGTACATGCTCTGCTATTCTGCCCTTCACCTCATGTGGAAAGTCAGAAGATAAAAAGTTAACATTTTGGAGAAGGTACTTCAAAGATCCAAATGTAGTGGGCTTTCAGCTGTGCCTTGGAGACAGAGGAAATGAAGCAGCTTTCTATTTTGCCTGGTCTCTCAGAGGAACTTTATGTTGTGGAGTTGTTGAAGGTCAAAGAAGAACAGCTGCCAATCACTCCCACAACTGATGTTGAAGACTCCCTGGTACCCATCCATTAGGTGATTTTTTGCCTGGGGAAACAAAGAGTGATCAGCAGGACCTGCTCATCCTTTATCAGTCCCATATGGCCAGTGTGAAATTTTGAGGAAAAGGAAGACTAGCAATAGGCTATTGCCTGAATGAAGTCACGCCATCACTGAGTGCTGCTGTGCTGGACGTGCTCGAGCTTCAGTATGAACTAGTGTCAGAGGCAGCCCAGTGATACCACAGTGCACCACTGATGCATTTTGTCAATCCTTTCAAAAGCAGAGTGCAGACTACAGTTTGCCTTTACCTGGGGCTCTGACCCCGACTCCCTTTTGATCACACATCAATGAAGAATGAACTTTGATGGAACCATGAGCACAGCAGTGATGGATTCAGAACTGCTTTCCACAGGCAACAGTCCAACACCACAAACCTTCTCTCCTGCCTGAAAACTGGGTCTGACAGATGGGGCCCAGGGTCATGCAGTGAACTCAATGGGCTTTTACAGGGATGGTCCATAATTTAAGGGAATGTTATCTGTGTGTGTATATGTACCCAAAGACAGGAAGGTAATGGAGTTTTGAGAAGTGGGACCTGGCATTACAGAAATTAAATGGAATATAGAGTGCCTACTGTCTTAGTTTGAGCTGAAGTAGAGAGAATTTTCTTTCTAGCAGCTGTTAGTACTATATATCTTGGATATATCTGTGGGAATAATACTGGTGAAACACTGATGTTTTTGTTGTTGCTGAGTAGTGCTTATCTTAAATCAAAGACTTTGAAGTGCCTCATGGTCTGTCAGTAAGGAGCTGTTGCAAGAAACTAGGAGGGAACATTGAGATGCATAACCCTGACCAAAGGGATATTCTGTACCTTGGAATGTCATGCCCAGTAGGTAAACTGAGGGAGTTGGCTGGCAGGAAACAATTGCTGCCTGGACATCAGTCAGTGTGTGGTGAGCAACTCTATTGTGCATCACTTGTCTCCCTTGTGTTTTAGTTCTCTTTCTCACCTCTCACTACTATTGTATTACTATTGATTTCTTTATTTCAGCTATTAATCTGTTCCTATCTCAGGCCATGTGGTTTTTGTGATTTGCCTCCCAGTCTCACCAAGGGTGGGAGTGAGCCAGCAGCTGTGTGTATTTAGTTGCTGGCTGGGATTGAACCAAAACACCTTACCATCTTTGGAGTTCAAATAACAGTTGTTGACTTGCACAAATCACTGGATCTGTACACATGGGGTATCTATGGATACACTGTAAATACAAGAAAGAATTTTCTTATTACTGTGGATGCAAATTACAGAATCACAGAGTAAGCTGAGCTGGAAGGGACTCACAAGGATCAACAGGTCCAACTCCCAGCCCTGCACAGCACCAGTCCCAAGAGTCATGAGCATTGTCCAAGAGCTTCTTAAGCTCTGTCAGGCATGGTGCTGCAGTGGTGCCCCGGGCAGTCTGTTCAGTGCCCAAACACCTTGGAGGAAAGAACATTTTCCTGATACTCAAGCTAAAGCTCCTTGGACACAAATTCAAGCCATTCCCTCCAGTCTTGTCACTGGTCACCCCAGAGAAGAGATCAGTGTCTTTCTCTCCTCTTCCCCTCACAAGGAATTTGCACCCCCTAACGGCGTCTCCCCTCAGTCCCCTCTTCTCCAGGCTGAACAGACGAACTGCTCTCACCTGTTTCTCACATGCCTTCCCCTCAAGGCCTGCATCATTTTCATGGCCCTCCTTTGAACACTTTCTAATAGTAATACGTTTATTTTGTTGTGGTGCCCCAAACTGCACAAAATATCTAAGGTGGATGCACTAGTGATTGCATATCACATTTGCATAACATGTTAATGTCTTGGTTTAGCTGTCAGTAAGTCCTGAAGATTCATTAATCTTCAAGGTATACTTGCTTCAAGTTACTCCAGCAACAGCTTTCTGCAGACAATAGCAGAAAGTTCCCAGATGATGAAAGGGACAGAGAACCTGCACTGTGAGGAATAACTGAAGGAGTTCAGTCTTTTCATGCTAGAAAGAGACGGTTTAGAGGACATGTGACTACAGTTTTTCAATATTTAAAAGCTAGCTACAAAGAGGACAGGGCTTGTCTCTTCACAAGGACAAGACAAGGGACAATGAGTACAAGTCGCACCAGGAGGGATTTCAACTTGAAAAGAAAAAAAGAAAATTTTCATGGTAAGAGCAATTTTCACTGGGATGGAGTCCAATTTACTGCAATATCTTTAATAAGCTGGATAATTAATTAAACAGAGAGCACATGGAGTAGTTATTCTGAACTATTAGGGAATGGTAAACACATGCTCTTCAAAACATGTTCTGATTCTCTATCTTCTTCTCCCCAATTCACTTGTTTATTGACCTGACCCTTTTCCAGGTAATAACCAATTTACTTGCCTACTCAATTACACGCTAAGACAGTGAAATCTTTCATGCATTTTCCCAGAAATGTGGTCAAAGGACTGCTAGAAACCTTATCCTTCTTTCTCTATCTTTTATTTATTTATGTTCCCATTCTTTTAAGAGGTTTGGGGTTTTTTCACATATGATTGTGAATCTGACAAACAGCAGTAATTACATTGATATATACTTTATAATGATTATTTCTAGCCTAAGTGTTTGCTATTTTCTAGGTTGAACTCCTCCAGTGTGAAGAGGTCCTCATTGTAGTTTAGAAAACACTTGGCTCATCTTGATGCTACCTAATGGCTTTAAAAAGCACTATCATTCATTGAGTAATTTTCTCATGTCTGATTTTGACTGTTGGTGATTTGAGTCCACTTACATACTGAGTATGCCTAACTGACTTAACAGGAAATAACACATGGCTATTTTGCTTTCTACATACTCTCAGTGAAGGTTGGTCTTTCAGACCATTAAAACACTGTCCAAGCAAGGGCAGGAAGTCACAAAATCCTAATTAATGTCTTTTTTTCATATTGTTTTGTTAGAAGAACAGCAAGCCTTAGTATTTCATAGAGGTTTGATAAGGACTCTGTGTGTGTGTTCATATCCTCAGAATAGGACACTATTTTACCTCTATTTCATACAGTTCAAATGTGGCTCCCTTTTTACCAAATGTGTAGTTTTCACTCCCACCCACACATTTAAAGGTAGCATAAATGAGAGTGAATGTGTGTGTTTCTTTGTAAAGCAGTTTGATGTTAACATCCACAAGCTCAAACTTTGCACAGTGATTCTCGTAGGCCCTCATAAAAACCTTTGGATTTATTTGAGTTCCCATAGCTATGCCAAAGAAGAGTTGAGAAACCCAGAAAAATATTATTCTTCATCTGAAAAAAAAAACCAAAACAAACAAAAAATACCCCAGAAAACCTTTCTGAGTTGAAAAATCTAAGTTTGCTAATTACTATCTAGCTAACTTTCATTCTTGTAGGGGCGCCCTGCAGGGAATTTCTGGGAGAAAGACAAAGATGTGGCACTTGTAATACATTCTTTATCTATCAAATTCTCATTCTTCAACAACCAAACTAAGTACTGCTTTGAAATAGTAGTATCATCCCAGCATTTTATCTGATTATTTTTCTAGTTTCTTACATTGCTTTTTCACCATAATGGAATGATTCTTTTGCCATAGCATGAGGCTATAACAAGGTACTGAAAAACAGCATATGAAGATCATGTGTGGTGGCAGCAGTACACAAGCCTGTTGTTCTAAGGCTCTTGGTGCCTACAGAGTGTGTGACTGCAGCATATGGAGCTCTACCAAGATTTCAGAATCCCATTTTTTTTTGATGCCAGTAACAGATAAGAATTATCAGCCAGGTTTGGGTACATGTAGCTTGCGCAGGGCAAGGATAGCCAGCCCAGGCCAAAGCACTGGCAATGCTGGTGGTACAGGCTTTAAGCAGATGAAAGTTGGTGAAACTTTTCCTGTTCTCTCTGGTTTTACACTTCTGCTTTCGACTGTGGGCATATTCAAAGCAGTGCATGTGTGTGTACAAACATATGCATGACCCCAGTGTCACTTCCAAGATCCCCACTGCCAGGTTGACTGTCATTAATTTGGTAATGTCATGATGACTACAACGTGAAAATGCTGGCAGGATTTATGGTCATTTTGATTCCCGTTTCTTTATACTGTGTCTTTAGATGGTTATTTATCTATTCTTACTACTTTCAGAATTTTTTGCAGATCATTATGCAAGCTGATGGTGGTTGTCTTAACTAAATTTAAACTTTCCTATGTTGAAGCCTTAAATAAATTTTAAAAGGATCATTTACTTATTAACTGGTGTAAAGGGGAAAATACTAAAAGTAGGCAGAATATTCTGGATTGAACTGATGGTTAATGGGAAATCAAAAGACAAAAACTATTCATGGGTTACAGATGAAGTTTCCTGTATTCAATAGAATAAGAAAGCCAGGGACTAGATGAGGTAAGGAGATAAGCACTAAAATTCCTGATAGGAAGAAAATGAGGTCACCATTGCAGCAATAGAATAGAGCCCTGGGGGAGGAAGGCAGGTGTGCAGACTGCAAGGTTGATCCTGCTGGAGCACTGATCTCCAAAGAAATTGTGCCCTTGGGAACTTGGGGGCAAGAAATGACATGTGGACTGGAGCTCTGCAACATGGTGACAGTGAGTATCAGATCCACCCAATGTAGAATCCTCCTTCTACGCTGATATTTTTCAGGGGACTAAAATTGTAACACAAAATGATTGCTACACACTTCAGCATGTCTGTTTCACTTCGGGTACAGAAATCCAGACAGAAGTCCTCTCACATCTACTCAGGACACAGGGTAACTGAGGTGGTATTGGAATGTTGGGGAACACAAGACAGATCATGGACTTTGGACCTGGTTAATAAAAGAGATTTGGTAACAGGATGCCTTGGCAAAAGCAAATGGAACTTTGAAAATTAGACCTAGACTGCAAGAAGATTCAATCAGATGGGTTTACCAGAAAAAAAAAAAAATCCATTAAACTCTGCAAGCAAGAGATGTTGTTATATGCATATATTTGTGTATGTGATTTTAACCTAATCATTGTAGTAGTACACATTA